TGATGATTTACCGTAATTCTCCTCAGTTTTTCGTAATTTATAACTTTAAATATAACCTCTCTTCAGAAAGCACAACATAAAAATAACCCGTCGGGCACAGCCAATAGATATACTTCATTGGCAGCATATTCAGTAATGATTTTCTCACGCAGCAAATATCACTGATTTTATACACATGTAGACCAATACATATAATCATCCATATGCGATCTTGCTATTCAACCAACTTTCTTTTCAGAGATAAAAACTACAGACTAGGACCACTCGGCGTCATAAAACACATGCAATCAATAATGCATGTAGTTTGATTGAGTGAATTCTCCATAGATGGACGTTCACAACGATCCTAGTAAGCGAACATGGAACGCCCTAAAAACTACCTGGCTTGCAAGATGACATCTTATTGGTTTTTGTTTGATGTTTTATAGGTTTTTTACATGATACCCGGCGGATTGCATGACATTTCACGTCACCGTCGCTAGGCAATATGATGATGACCTTCACTCTTCAGCAGGCTTCTATCTCTTCTAACAAGTGTTGTTGATACACACTTCTCGCGTTTCTCTCTCGTACACATTGAACTCAAGCGTTAGACAAATTCGGTTTTCCTTATATAGTACCTACTTCTCATGGAAGAAAAGGAGCAGAAGGCAAAGCGTAATCAACACAAAGGAGTGATGGAAAATAGGACCTTTGGTACCTATGATACTTTCTAACTCTATCCACCTCGTGCGTTACAAAACCGTATGTGAGTAGAGACCTGTCACATAGGACCTTTTGTTTTTGGAACCCATATCACCCATTAGCTGAATATGTACAATTGTAGTCATACGAGTAGTAGTAGACGCATGTATGTTTCTCGTGATTAAGTGAACGTGGCTCGATCAGTATTTATTGTGATAAATCAGTCTTTATCAGGGAATGTGACATTTATTGACCGATTAACCTTTACTTCAGTAATTATTGATGTACACGATCACGTAAATAATGCTCTGACATTCTACTGATGGTTCGGACCACAGTGAATACTGATCGTGTAACAAACACCTCAGCATGAAATAAGTAATGAGCTTTTGATTTATATTATTGTCCCATACCATACAGTGGTAAAAAAAGAATCAGAAATATTTCCTTCCAAAAATAGCACATGAATCACAAAATGCTTCCTTGCTGAGATCCAGAGTGTCGAATTGAATACCTAGATATACCAGAGTAAACAACACATGGAAAAGCTACGCCAAAGGCATTTGAATATATTTGGAATTCCACTTCAGAATCGAAAATACTGGATTAAATTAGTATCCACATAGTTCCGTCAACATTTATAGCGCTGACGAGTATTTTATATTTCACGAGTATCCATCACGCTTTGTCAACTACTGATCAGAACAGCTGATCAGCAAGTAACATTTTTGTGTTAGTCTGCAGCGTTGGCAATAATGACTCGGGTGTAAATCTAGTAAAACTTATTTGTAGCGTTTTGTTTTTGTATGCAAATTAACGTTTCTAAATAAAAGAGCAAGTACAAAATGAATCTGTAGCGTACAAAAACCCAAAACAAAATATGGCTCTGCCTACTTGGCATTGATGAATCCGTCAGAATTTAGTATCCCGTGCCGATATGGGGAATTACTACCATGATCACGGTAGAATGACAGCTGATTATCTATTAGTATCTCAAAATTCCCCATACCAGCACAGGACACATAATTCTGACGGATCCCTCAACGTTAGGTAGTCAGAGCCGTATCTTGTTTTGGTTTTCTGTACGCAACAAATTCATTTTGTACTTGTTAACAGCTCTTTTATTAAGAAAAGTTCATTTGCATAAAAAACAAAACGCTACAAACAAGCTTTACTAGATTCACACCCGATTCATTATTGATAACGTTGCAGACTAACACAAAAATGTCACTTGCTGATCAGCTATTCACCTCAGTAGACGTCAAAGCGTGATGGATACTCGTGAAATATGGTAGATGCAATATCTTCGGCATGACGACTTGATTAACCTGTAATGTATTTATTTTTTGTATTAATTGACTTGCATACTTTTTTTAAATTATCTGCAATTTGCCTCAAAACAAACAACGTCGGTTCTATTTAGTTGTCGCTGCCATAACAGCTTATGGCCTGCTGGCTAATAGGAGCACGCGAATTTGAACGTCGCGCACAGCAGTTTTGTTCTGAGGGGACGTAAATGGGATATGAATACATTTTAGCTCCTTTGTCATGATTATTTGTGTACAACCTCAATGTCACAGTTTCAAAGCAGCAAAACGTAACATCGACGATACTGCGATACCTCGTAACAAACAGTGATTAACACGGCATAATTTGGTCAGTTTTGTAGGAAGAGTGGACAAACTGAACATTTTATCATTACATTTTTGACAGACTGAATTGTTGTTTTGTCTCGTGTCGTTTGAAGCGTTTTGATTAGTCAACGCGCTGACCTCACTGAACGAAGCTAATCGCTGTCAAGCAACAAATAAGCCTAAAATTAAAATTTTGATTTTTTTTGTATAGTAAAGCAGTTTGAGCCTCTTTTGGTTACGCGGTATTGCAATATCACCGAAGAATTAAAGTATCTCTAGGCTAAATCATTTTATTTTCAGATAAGTTGTTCTTTGCTAAGAAAAAAATTACGGTAGAAATTTATAAAAGTGTACTGACTCATCACCAAATGGGCATCGAGTAATAGCCAAGCAGTCGTTCCTTAAATTGTTGTTTGGCCAACGCGTGATATTGCTTGTTATTTATTAACTCAGTTTCTCATTAAATACATCTTTTTTATTCATATCTATTGAAGAATTCATGACTGATACTTCTACTACAAGGTACAGTTTCATTTTGTTCTATTAATAAGGAAAAACCAGGATCCTCATCATGATTAAAATTTATAACCGGCCACAGACAACTGTATTACTGGTTGTCAAGAACTACAAGGAATACCTGCGCAGCAGCGGCGAAATCCTGATGAATCAGAACACCATTATAAGTTCGCAGTATAGAAAGTATCTGTTAGATTGAATTACGGTTGTTAATTACGAACTAATTGTAACTAAAAACATGTTTTCAGGCCCAAACGGTATCCGGAGTACAAACACTGATAGTGACTGAACGGCGAGGCGGCCCACGCACCTACCGGGGGCCAATGGGCGGTCACCGTCGACGATTTGTGGGCGGCGTTCGACCTGGGCGACCACCTGCCTGCTTTCCGCCGCGCATCCTACCCCCAGTACACGAAGTCTATCTGGGGAAGCCACTGGGCGGCGCTAAGTGTCCTCAGGAGCAGCGCTAAGCGGAAGTGGGCGTCATCACCGAGTGATCGCCCCGCCCCGTCCGGGTACGTGCGCACGCGCTGGCTCCACCCACTCTGCGGGCGGCCTCTGTCGTTGCCGACTAAGAAAAACGGCGATAATGAGTTACGGGCGAGTGCTCGGTCAGTCCGCGGTCGCCAGAAGGTTATCTAGAATGTATACGGCTGGTTTGCTTCAACGATCTATTTGAGATTAAATGAGAAAAGCAGAGAGAAGCAACGAGAATACACAGTAGTTGACGGATCGTCTGGACGTGACAATAACCTAGTCCAAGACACTTTTGAATTCTCTTTTCATTGGGTGAAACATGCCGTACTATGTTAAAATTTGAAATTCAAGCCATCTTACCTATGTTCAAAGTAAGTAGCAATAAATAGCTTTCTTATTATTGAGTAGCAAAATTAAATTTATGTTTTAGCTGCCCATATAAAAATCCATTCAAAAGGAGAATGGATATTTTGGTACCCAAATAAATAACAATATACCGTTGGATAGGTCTTGTCAAAAAGAAAAAGGTTTAATAAGGTAAAAAGTACGAATTGAAGTTTAGGTGATAACAAGGATTTTACCAGTGCATTTTTCGGCTCAGCTGTTTTTCACTCCCACCCATTTCCAAGATACAAAATATATTCCCTGGTAATTAGAGTTATTCTAAAAAGTATTTACTTATTGAGGAAAAAACTTGTTTGTGTACTAGACATTCCCAAAAGTTATTCTTTATGGGATATCTTGGTGACTACTAGTCCAATTTCAACGAACGTTTAACGATGACCAGTGATTCATGGTGGGCTCAACTAGATTTAATGTAATTTTAGTTAGTCCTTCTGGGGGCGCTATTAATTTTTGAAAAAAAATTCACATCAATTTTTCATTCGGTACGATTTTTGAAAACGAACTCTATACGCAAAATCTGCATTAAACGTGCATTTTATGTTGTCCAATGAATCGACGGAATGCAATTCATGAAAGACCACTTGCGTGCAACACAAACAAATCCGAAAAGCCAAGGTTTCTTTCGAGGTGGCGGTGCTCCAAATGGACAACGAATTTGAAAAAAAAAACTATGATATTTCTCATTTACATGAAACGGACTGTTAAGTGGTATATGATTTACGAGGGTGGTCTGAAAAGTTTCCGACTTAACAGAGATAAAAGACATTTTTTCTGATTTTTTTTTTATTTTTCAACATAGTCTCCTATATATAATTGTTCACGAAGATGATTGCCTCTTCATTTGACGAAAATATCTCTCCTCCGAGCGCAATTTTTAGATGAGGGAACAAGAAGAAGTCGCTTGGGGCTAGATCGGGTGAGTAAGGCGAATGGTCAAGCAGTTCAAATAGTACTTCGTGGATTTTCGCCATGGCAACCGCTGAGGAGTGAGATGGTGCGTGGTCTTAGTGAAACAGGATTTTACTTTTTCCGCAAGCTCTGCCTACCTGTAATGGTTTTTCCTTTTCGAAGATAATCGATTAAAACTCCATGACTATCCCAAAAAACAGTCGCCATCACTTTCCAAGCCGAAAAAACAGTGTTTGCTTTCTTTTGGAGCCGGTGCCCCCTTTGCAGTCCAGTGTTTGGACTGTATTTTTGTTTCGGGCATATAATTGTGTCCAAGTTTCATTGGAACACGTTTTTGGTTTAACGTGAGCAAACGTGGCACCCAACGCGCGGACAGCTTTCTCATGCCTAAATGTTGATTTAATATTTGACAAACACGTTCATTTCACATGTTGGTGAACTTTGACGATGTTTTCGTCGATACTTGCAGTTTTTGGACGTACCGAACGTTCATCGTCTCCCAAGCTCTTACGGCCACGTTTGAATTCAGCTGCCTAAAATTTCACTGTGGTAAATGATGCTGCAGGCTCCCCATACACAGAATTCAACACATCTTATTGCGTATTGCCTTTCAAAAACAAATATTTAATGACATATCGATACTCGATTTTGTCCACATTCACATCCACTCACCCAAACGAATGTTACATAACAACTGCACGTCCAAAATGGCTGAAACCTTAGTGACTAACTGTCAACAGATGAAGAACGAAGTTCGCTAGCTTTTATTTACTTGTGCTGCCATCTTCACGTCGAGGTCGGAAACTATTCAGACAACCCTCGTATATCTATTTGTTGGGGTACCAAAAACCATTCTTCCTTGAACTGTCAAGCATTATTGCCAAGCAAGATATAATTTTTATTGAAGTGACAATTTGTCTCATATAAAAGGATATACATTACTAATAGAGTTGTTGACACAAACCAGCTTAACGAAATCAAAAGGGTAGTTTGTAAATAGAAACTTTTCACATAAGTAATTGATTAGACCAAAGACTAAATAAATAATTTCTATACATGTCATTTTTTCCGAATAACTCATAATTTACTTAAATGCCTTTAGGGAGTCTCCTGAAAGATCTAACCGTATATTCGATGATAAGAAACAGTTTACCATAGAATAGTTGTTTAGATGGAGGATTTGCTAAAGGTATCGTTTATATACATAAGTGAATTGGGGAGATTGTTATTGTTTCCTGACAGAGTTATGAGAGTTGAGGATCGAGCAGCAAATATATGTACCATTTTTGTCAGCAAAAAACTTGCCGATTTTCTCAGTGAAAGTCAAAATTCCCGACAGCCGCCACCTCATGGTACATTGCTGTTTGATCCTCGCTCCGGTAAGGAAAAGCATGACTGTATGTAAGTGACCGAGTGCTCAATACGTCTCATCTAGAAAATTATAGAATTTAACAAAATAAAAAATTATCGTCAACGATTTCGAACGAATAGATTTTTGTACATAACATTAGGATGTTTCAATATAATTAAACTGTTGATCAACTGGTAAGAATAATAGTTTTATTATTATTATTTAACTAAACATCTTGAATTAGTTCGCATGCAATGATGTTCAGTGCTTTTCAAAAAGCCCACTTATTTTTTGAAGCACCCTGAAATTCGGGACGATAAGACTAACTAAAACTGAAAGTTGAAAATTTCAATATGGTGGTTAGACGTAACCATTTTTGAATGGAATGGGGGTCCTGTTATACCTCATTTTTAACCTCCTCACGAGTACCTTGTCACTCTAGAATTTAGATCTCTATTTTTCAGAAAGGCGGACTGACAAGCTGCCAAAGTCGGACGTTTTTATACGTTGAACCGCACGGGTATTACGTATCTCGAAAAGTGACATTATGTCGTTTTTTGACATAACGTAGGTTTTTTTAACACAGCGAAGGTTTTTCTACAAGATGTTAACTTAGAACTAGCTGATGGACGCTTGTTGTGAGCTCGTTTTGTAGTTGTACGTGTTGCCTAAACGTCATGATGCTTCAGTTATCCATGTTTGGCTCTGAAGAGTGATGTAGCATCAAAAATGGCATTGTAGGAGGTCTAAGGAATAAGTTGTATATTATAGCTGGAAGCTAATAAGCTAATAATCTGTTTGATGATAATTGCATTGGTTTCTTGTTTCAAGCAAACTTACTTGGGATTCAAAGCTAGAATTTTTTCGTATTCATTCTGGAAATTACATATGCAAATGTACTGAATTTCAAAAGTGAGAGGTTCAAGAAAAGAAAATTCCTGGTTGGTGAAGTACCAGGTGATAAAATATGCTACAGACAGGAATATTTATGAAAGTAAAAACGTTATTACATTATTTTTATTTCCAGTCATTTAAATTTTATAGAAATTTATTTTGCGATGTCAATAGAAAATACGAATCAACGCCTAGATGTGAGGCACTGCGAAAATGTATCCAGTGTGATACGTTATTCCTAGTTTTTCTGTGATGTGGCTTAATTGCACACAGCGCGGGCGCCGTGGCGATTTCCCGTAATGCTCCTAAAGGTTTTTGAGAATACAAAAAACGGGAAAAGTCGTAATTTATAACTTTGAACATAACCTGTCTTCAGAAAGCACAACATATAAATAACCCGTCGGGTACACCTAATAGATGTACTTCATTGGCAGCATGTTCAGTAATAATTTTTTCCCACTTAGCAGATATCACGGATTTTATACACATGCAGACCAATACACATAATCATCCAGATGCGATCTTGGTACTCAACCAACTTTCTTTCACAGTTTCTCAGAGATAAGCACTACAGACTAGTCGGCTTCACAAAACATATACTTAATTTCTGCAACCAACAATGAGTGTAGTTGAGTCATTCCTTCCTAGATGGACCCCACAGCGATCATAGCGAGCAAACGTGGAATGAACTATTTGCACCCTGAACACTACCTAGTTTGCAAGATGACATTTCTTTGTTTTTTTACGTTTTATAGATTTTTTACATAATAACCGTGTCTCTTAGCTAACACAACAACCAATGGTCAAAACGCTTGTATATTGTATCAATAATATTTTGAAAGAATTAAAAGATTATCTCAATATATGCCATTTCATTCTAAAACTCAGCTCCCATATTTTATTAGACGTTCAGGTAGACTAAAAGAAGAATATGGAAGTATACAACATATTAAAACTTTTTGATTAATAATTGGTTGTAGAGTTATACGCTAGTCAAAAACACTCAACTTTGACAGCCCGCCAGTTCGCCATTTGGAAGATAGTGAATTTATGCCCTAGGATTATAAAGTACGGATTGATAGGCAGATTCAATATGGAGTATTGCATGACCCATTCTATTTAAAAAAATGTTCCAAGATGACGCCCAGGCGCCATCTTGAAATTTCCCTTTGTTATTTTTACGTTAATAGCAAAAATCTAAGCAAGCTAACTTATTCAAAGAATAACAAGGAGTAACCTTTTTGAAAAGCACTGTATGTATGTGAAATAGAGACAGGAAAAAACACTCCTGATATAAAGAACTCTGAAACGTTTATTTACTGGCCACAAGCTGATTATGTATTGTAACGGTCATAGTTTCCGAAAATCCTGCTAATTTATTATCAATCCAGTTGATGCGACAGCGCTTCACACTCGAAATTGTTACACGTCGTAATAATAGGTGGTTCTCAATACTAAATGTAATCGAACCTCGCCCTACCGATTTCTACAGGGTGGCGCAGATTGCATGGAATAATAATTCAATGGTTGTGATAGAACATAGACAAGTGAAGGGAAACGATTTTGATCACAAAGACCACGGAAAGAACATCTGGCAAAAAATAATAATACAGCAAAAGATTTGATGTGGATTCATTCAACATATCTACTAGAGCTTCGAGGTACAGTTAAACTACAAAATAATTATTCACATTAGTTGCATTTTACATATGGTTTCAAGATGAGCACTTTTTCAATGCCAGGAATAGTGAGATGTTCTAAGCAAATGTTATACGGGCTTAACTCTATCCTTCAGAATCCTATAGTACGTGTAGGATGTCGAGTTAACAGCTGCACAACTACTACTCCCTGCAATCTAGCTATCCTAAAAGTGTGCTCGCGAAGTGGTGCATAGAACATAACGATTGTTAAGTGTTTCTAAGTGGTGATCTACGGTCACAATCAACGAGGCCGTAAACTGTGTATTGTTTGTTGACTCGTTTAGAAACAATTCAACGTTCGCGGTCCGTCAAACGTGAGACCTACGGTCGACGATTTGCTATGGTGATATTTGACAGCTGGCGTCACTTGAAGAATCTTTTGTCATCTCATATGTGGCTGAGACAAGTCTATTTCCTCCATCTTGCGAGAGTTTTCATACGGCTCTAGGAGATATTTAACTTAGTAGGTAGCAAGGTTTGAACCCCAGGGATAGTAAAAATCAATACGATTTTAATAATCAAGGTCAAATGACGTGTGCTTGTCAAATAATGACCTTTGGTCACGACGTCCGTGTGCCTGACTGTGATACACGCGAATGATCCTGTCAGTTGTCGATCGTGGATGCAGTAATGTCATTCTTACAGAGATCCAAGCAATATGTTTTGAAACAGATTGTCGAGAACTTGTATATGTTGTTTAAAACTTAAACTACCAACCAAAACCTCTCTAGATTAGTCTGTCTGTTATGACACGAAATATCCACGACTGACATTGACATTCCATGTGCCATAAAAGGCCATGCATAATTCTAAATTCGTGTTGTACGATTTTGCCTTAGTTACTGGACACTTCGTCTCCCAAACATTGCGATATGTTTATAGTGTTTAAGTCCCTTCTGTTACGATAACGTTTAATCTTACAATGCAAAATTCTTCAAATGAGTATTTCCAGATAACTGGAGGAAAGACAATATCGTAGAGAAACATCAGCAGAGCATAGCAGCATTAACCGATATTTTATTGCTCAACAGAACATGTCCTAAAACAAGAGAGTTAGTAAGGTTATTCAAATTTCATAACACAGGGTCATTCACTAGTCGTGACCAAAAATGAAACATCATACAAAGGACCGCATTTTAAGGGAGTCTTCTATGTAAAAATTTTTCCTCGAGGGCAAAATATGTTCAAAACCTTTAACTGGAATGAACTAAAACTTGGTATGTGGATTTACCAAAGTATTGTCCACATTCAAAAAAAAGTCTCTACTTAAAATTAACGTACACCAGTGGATTAATGACATTATTTTTCCAAGCAAAAATAGTGTGCCTCTGTTTTTATTTCGAAACGCACAATTTTTCGAATTTTACGTTTAATTTGCTACAAGTAATTACTCTTGTATTTTTTCCTAGAGTGCAATGTTTTCGTAAAAATGAAAAAAACAATTTAGATAATCAAAGCTTTATTTCAATAAATTAATCTTCAAACAGACCACCATTCTGACGGATACAAGTGCGGCGTCTTTTTAATAAAGAAAAACGTATTTCCGAAAAATTTGTTGTGGCTTGAATTTGATGAAACGCATTATCTATGCTTTCTTGTAACTGATCAACGGTATTAATTTATTCAGCATACACTAGTTGCTTAAAAGTGTCCTGCAAGAAAAAATTCTATAGGGTTCAAATCAGGAGACCTCGCAGGAGAATGTACGGGTCCGTTTCTGCCAATCCATCGTTGTCTAAAATGATTATTTAACCATGCGGTTATGTCACGACGAACATGCGGTGGGACACCGTCGTGCTGATACCACATTCGTATTCTCGTTGCTAACGGAACACATTTTCTATGTGAAGTTCTAGAAAGCTAAGGATGAGTTTGCATTTAAACGTTGTGGCAATACGTGCACAACAGTTGGCCATTGAAAATGCCACACCAGATATTTCTTAAAAATCTGTGTTGAAACGAATGGATTCTTGCAGAAGGGGGATTTTCTAACGACCAAATAATTATGTTCATTATGAAAATTAAAGGTTCCACCCCTCGTAAAAAGCGATTCATCTGAGCACAAAATCAAATTAATAAAATCTGCATTTTGATTATGCATTTGCAGTAACCACTCACAAAAATTTCGCACTTGCACTTCGTCGCCGGCTTGCAGGATGTAAAACTTCCCGTTTTAAAGTTCTCCACGCAAGAATTTGGAAACATGGTAACTGGGCTGCCATCCACCTAGTACTTGTACTAGGATCATCCAACGCCAAATTAATCACTTCCAGTTACTCTTAAACAGTATGCCGGACACCATGGCCTCTAACTCCGGAAGTTTGGCAATTCCATATTGCGAAGTCTTACAAATGAACGCGTACAAATATTTGGGGTAGGTTGGCGTCGGTTAGGAAATCTACGGTGATAGAAGCCGTACACAAAAATACTCTCGGCGTACTCATCATTGCTAAATTCCGTTTCACAACGCTCAGAAATGGAAAAAGAAACTTTTGACTTTTCCAAAAAAATGGTTGTAGTAACGATAACAACCCTATAACACATAACTTTGACAAACTATCTCCCAAGAAACGTCAAGATGGTATCAAGGCCTTCTATTTTATTTTGAAACTTATTGTATTTCAGCTCTTCATGGATGATCTAATTTGTTTTATTTTGATTTTACGAAAACAGTGTACTCTAGTAAAAAAGACAAATTTATTTGTAGCGAATTGAAGGTAAAATTCGAAAAACTGCGCGTTTTGAAAAAACAGTGGCGTACTATTTTTATTTGGAAAAGCAATGCCACTAATTCCCTGTATCTCCGCCAATTTTAAGTGAAGACTTTTAAATGTGAACAATTCTTGGGTAAATTCTGATATAAGATTTAATTTCAATTCCAGTTGACGGTTTTGAAGATATTAAAAAAATTGGTTTTTATTTTTCAACTTTTAATGAAGCCCTCGAGGAAATAATACTACATGGGAGACCCACCTTAAAATGCGGTCCTGTGTATGATGTTTCATTTTTGGTCACGACTTGTGAATCACCCTGTATAAAGTTATTTTCTTCGAAACCAATACCTTCTAGTTTTTTTAGTTGTACATACAGTGGAAATATCAAAGTTACTGGAAGGCGAAGCTGATTCAGAGGAATATTTATTACGAAAGATTTCGGTAAACGTAACGATTTTTTATTATAGTTCGTAAGTTAGTGACAAATGAATATAGTGAAGACTACACAGAGCCAAATGGGGCCTAAGATATACACATCTCATCCATCTTTACGTAATTCCATTATCCAGCCTGATTGGTACAGTTATAAATTTCAAGTTTATGAAACAATACGATTATTGTGTATTCTTTGATATTTTCGGACATAGTACAACTTTTTTGTCTCAATGGGGCACATATCACACATTCATTTAAAACATTATTCGATTCAGTACGTTAACAGGACCCTCATGTGCTGTAAAGCTCAAAATGACTGAATACTATTTTCATGTTTCAAAAACTATTTCACGAGTATCCATCACGCTTTGACGTCTACTGAGATAATCAGCAAGTGACATTTTTCTGTTAGTCTGCAACGTTGGCAATAATGAATCGGGAGTAAATCTACTAAAACCTGTTTATAGGGTTTTGCTTTTTGTATGCAAATAAACTTTTCTAAATAAAAGAGCTGTTAGCTAGTACAAACTGCATCTGTGGCGTACAAAAAATCAAAACAAAATTCGGCTCTTTCCACCTGGCGTTGACGAGGTCCGACAGGATTATGTCCAGTGCCGACATGGGGAATTTTTGAGATATAACTAGATAATCAGCTGTCGTTGTACCGTGATGGATACTCGTGAAATAGAGTATATGCAATGAAGACCAGAAATACTAAACTATTTGTATCTGAATATATCAGAAGATATTTCAGGGACAATCAGATTAGTCTGAAAAGAATACGTTTTTCTAGCACTATGATTATCAGATTATTTATAATCAGGTATTGAGATATCACATTCTCAAAAATTTCTTTTAGAATAAATAACATATATACAGGGTGTTGCACATTTTTTATCACATAAAGAGGATGTGATATCTGATCGCACTGATTGATATCTTGCTATTTACACACATATTTAAAAGCAAGAAAGTATCCTTCTTAACCTCTACGAAAGTAATAATCCATCAATGAGATTTGACAAAATCACGAAACTGTTATGTTGAAGCTGTCTGCAGGCCTTTCTGTTTTAAATGGAAATGCTTAATAGATGCTTTTAAGATACCAGGTATAAATATTTTTCTCTGGCAAGAAATCAAGAAAATTGGATAAAAATAGGCCAAGAAGTTCATAAAATTGCTATTACGATTTTCAATTTGCTGGTTGCAATTTCAAAGAAATTTATTCAAACTTAATAACTGTATTGGTTTGTCTTACACACATTCACGATTTTTTGTCTAAGCATAACTGTACCAACCAAAAATTTTGTTACAAAATGAAATAATGTATAATATTTAGCAGTGAGCGCTAGTATTACACGTTAGACTCAATGGATAACCTTGTTACTATTTTTGTGCTTTATTTCGAAAATTGATTGTACAGTACCTTTTTAAAAGCCATCGGTAGGTGAGAGTGGTAAGCAACTAGTTTTTTTGTAGAAACTGAAAACTATGTGATCATATGTTAACTTGTATATTTATTTTTAGGTGTATCGAAGTTTTTACAAAATATTCGTCGTACAGATGATTGGTTTCTGTTTCGTAGATTTGGAAATGGATGTGGATTAGTTTGAGTGGTATATTAAATTACTTTTAATTTTTTGAAGTCCTTTTGAATTGGTTATAATGGTAACCTAGGTACTTCTGTGATCGCAAGAACTCCTAATTTTAGTTAAATATGTTGTTGCCTTATTTAATATTCATGACTAGAGTGGCCTAAATAATGTTATTGGTGCAGTATGTTTTAGGATACTGAAACAATAAGATTATAATATGACAAATATCATAGATTCAATAACAATTATCAGTAGCATTGTAGAATAATATTGTTCGAATGAATGTCGATCTATTATCCACCTAAGTTCAAAGCTCATATTTCTTTACAAGGATAATTAATCTTATAGCTGTAGATGGGGCCTATGATTAATGCTTTATTAACAATAATTTATATTTCTATTTGCTGTGAATCCGCAGGAAATTGTTCCAAAAGTCATGCTTCCATATCTATAAAACAGGAAACTTGCTTCCACTTTTGTCTCCACCATGGCGAGAACAATTCTAAATGCTCATTTAGGGAGAAGAAAAAATCGCATTAAGACACATATGAACATAGTCCAAGTCGCATGTAGTATGCAAGTGTATATACAAGGGTGTATGGTATAATATATATGGTTACCTAAACAAAAAGAACGACATTGTTACTGGATAATGTTTCCTTTCAGAGGTTTCTCGATAGGAATCTTCTAATGCACTATTTTCAAGTGTCTCTTATTCCTTGTTATCTTAGTAAATGGTAAATACTCGATAAATAGATATACAGGGTGATTCAGAAAACAGTGGCAATATTTCTCGGCCATAAATTACTTGGAAAAATAACACGAAAAGTGCATATAAACATGAATCCTGAAATACCCCCTTAACGGAATACAGGGTATCGAAGATATTCCGATATTGCCTTAACATTTAATAGTATAGGAGCAAAACCCATACATAAAAAATTATCGTGTTTGCCACTACAACAAAGACAGAATTAAAGGTTCACTGCGGCAGTTCGCATGTTTGAATAAAGTATTCAATTTTACATGAATCACCTCTACTGAGAATATTTGTAGGACTACTTTTTTTTGAGAGAAACTGGTTTGAATATTTGAAGTCAAATCTTTTATAAAATATATTAACACTATGTGAACAATATCCACTCTCATCAGTAACTCCACAACATCCTGTAAACCTGCCATGGGACGTTTCAGAGCGTATATGAGCTTTTTTGTTACTTTTAGATATTCCGGGAATATTGCCATTCTGTCTTCGCGATGGCACAATTTGAACCACTGCAAATGTTGGCATAATCGCATCTTACACAATAAATGCATACTGAAACCCGAAACTACACGTATGATTAAATAGAATGAATGACAGTACGGAAGTAACTGCGAACTGAACGTTGGATCGTCTAGTAACCTTGAATAAAATCATTTCTCGACCTTCTCTCTACAAGAGTTAGGTACTCCCAGAAGACCTCTTCTTGGCTAACTTGTAAATTTCATGCTTTTTGTTTTTTAACCAAACAGTTTTAGAAAAGGGATTATTCACAATATGTTGTCATTTACCGAAGATCAACTGAAAGGATGCATTATCTTCGTGACTCAGTCCTTGAAAAACCAAACGTATTTGTTGCTACATTAAAAATTTAGAGGTTTGTTCGAATTTTGTTATTTCGTTTTCTTCCTTAAGCCGGTTCCATATGGTAAAGTTGGACTAGACGTACTGCAGTAAAAGGAGGCATAAATTGTGGAACTCAAGTCAGCCAAGTCACAAAAATTCATCCGCATGAGAAACTTTATTTCGTGGAAAACTGTTCTCATTGCCATAAGTTGAAAGTAAATCGAAAAACAAAATATACGGGATGCGGCATAAAATTCGTTCTTTCAATGTCAATGGGCGTGTTCCAAAGACGACGTCACCAGCTACTTAAAGTAAATGGGCAATGAGGTTAAGCGTTGCAACGCAATAATTTACTAAATGTACACAATATAATGCTCCTCCGTGACTGTATTAATACCCCAGTTATATCTAGTTCATCTTTTATAGGACTAGCGTGACTCAGTTGACACTTGATGTTTGAATACTCGTCAGTTTTGTTCTCCAAGATTCAGAAATAATTAAATGTCAATTAAATCATTAATAAACTTTTGTGTTGGATTAGTTATCCCAGAAAATATAACAAGTTTGCAGTATGCTCGTAAAGTTGAACACATGTTTATCCAGGTATCACATGCACCAAACCATGCTTTACTCATTAGAAGAATTTAAAATATAAAATATTTTAAATTGCTTCTTTCATGAGCGTGTCACTATGAATACATTCATGTGATTCCTTTTGATAGGCATTATTTCAACTTTGGAGGTACACTGTTACTATATGTGGCACACAATGTTTAGATTGAACAGGATATCTGTACAATATACATGTATTTTTAGGGACAACTAATTTATGTTTCACACCAAAAAAAATATCTGTGTAGCTTAGAAAACTCGCTGTATTATGTTTGATTCTTAATATTTGGAAGATGAGTTTATGTGCCAAGGTATCTCAGAAGTATTCATTAACCAGATATTTAAAAGTAGCACAGCTCCACCTAGCTGGCGGGTCAGAAAATGCCTCTAGTGTAGTTCGAATGAATTTTATTACGCCTCACATCACGTCTTCTGAATCTTCAAGATATGCAAACTTTTTGAGTGCAAAAAGTGTTTCGAACAGAAATTGGACAAGGACATGAAATCTAGCATTTATAGCATTTTTTTACCACCTTATTATTCTTGTCCCAAAGAATATTAAGCGCGCTAACATTTAAATGATCGAATATAATTCGACCAATTCTTCGTTCAGAAACATTGAGGGTGTCTGCTATGTGATTCGCCTAACTTTTATCATAATGTAACTTCTCTCACAAGTTCTACATTTTTTTCGGTAGCGACTTCAGATGAGCGCTCTGGACCTGGATCATCTTCTGGCGTTAGTAAGTCACGTTTACAACTGAAGCACCATCTCTAGATGATCTGCACAGATAGCTTATCTTCACCAGATACTTTATCCATTTCGTCGTTCTTTAGTTGATGGACCACAGTGCAAAATTGGCATTGCAACCAATATTCAGTTATATTTATCAAAAATCCAAATATATGTTAAACTAGCTGGATTATATTGAAATTTGCCATACGACATAACTTAATCGTCGATGTATTGGAATGTGAAAGTAAACAGAAAAAGCAGACGGAGTGCAACCCAGAAGACAGATAAATAAAATATATTGTCAAAAAAGGGACAATTGTACTGAAGAAAGACTATCGACATGAAAACCACATGATAAGTTTCAGATGTTGCATGACAGAACGTATCGCGAGTCCTACAGCAGTTTGCCAAAACCACAGCAAATATCGTATCGCCAGCACGGTTGGATAGTAAGATGGTATTAGTCAAGCGCGTTGGACAAATGAGTGCCCTTAGCAAAGGATAAATATGCTTTTTCTAGAGCAGTGTCACACTTTTATTTGGAGCAAGCCAACAAATACAGATACAAATCCTTACATAGTACAAACATTTGCGCACGATAGCAACTACAGTTTCTGTCAGAATACAGTTTCAGTAGTTATAATCTATATATGAGGTATGTAAATTAAGTGATGAGACTTTTTTTATTACAATTTTATACATATCGTCACCCTCGAAATAACTTCCTTCTTGACAAAATACTCCGTAGGCCTGTTTAGCAGGAGTTTCCGTTGCACTCCAGCCAAGTCTGACGCAAAACCGTTGCTTGGAATTAATGTCTGTTTCACAAAAAAGTCGCTACGGTCAACCAAATGACTCTAGCGAGTTCAAACTTGTAATGAAGGCGGATCACATGTTCCCCCATCTCCACTCCATACCCGGCGCCTCCAGTGTTGTCAGATCGAATGCTACGTTGCCATCACTTAGTGTAAAGACCTTGTACATAATTGTGAATGTCTATCCAGTCTGTCGACATCACGCAATACAGAGAAACGTAAGAATTTGTACACTTAATAAAGCCCAGGGAAGGTTATAGGCATGGTTTTATCGTCGAAAATGTACAGGTGTTCGAAAAGTATGGATAGATAAAAATATTTCGAAAAATACGTCCCCTACAAAAAAATGTTGTACAACAGTGTTGAAAGGTTCGAAAAGATTTATCTAATGGTGATCTTGAACGTGACCTTCAAAGCCATTTGACGATCAAGCCAGGTTTTTCAAATGAAACTCCTATGTTTGATACCAAAAATGTAAAGAGCGGGAAATGTTACGTTAAAATATGTCTTTAGGCATGACATTCATGATTATATCAAGGTGTCCAGAAAATATGGAAAGGATAAAATATCTCGAAAAACACCTTTATTGCCAAAGTAACTAATGCATTACTTTGAATATTGCTTACCATTCTCCAAAACCAATCTCCTTTACGCTAATGCAAAACGAATGAGCTATATTTCAGTTTTTAATATAAAAAAGCGCCAAAAGCCATGTTGTGTTTATGTCTTATCGGCTATGCATCCTGTGACGACCCTAAAAATGAAGTACCATTGGCAAGTAGCTTTTATTCATCTGGTTAGTGAAGCAAGAGAAAGGAATATCAGATAATACTCAAGGCACTCTTGATGGGGTTTTGTTGGTCTTAAGCACGGTTCAGGCGTTATGAAATTGCTCATTGTTAAATTTATGTTCTATAAACCCCACCCACCTCATGATCTCGACATATACATATGTTGTTCACGTTTTATGTTATCATAGTATATATCGATATATTAGTTGAAATGTTGATAAAAAAATATAGAGACGAAGAGGCAGTGGTGGGGTCAACACACATGGTATGCATTTATTGTAGGAAGATTTTTAAAAACGTAACGCAAATCGTTCACTTGCAAAAGTTTTTCTAAGAAAAAGTCAGATGGTGTAAATATAGTGTTATGATGATATACACTGCCTAATAAATGATTATTACCTATTCTGTTCTATGTTATACCTGTCAAATCTCCATGTATCCTTAATATAAGATCGTTTCCACATCCCATGAATCCATCCGTCAGCATATGACATTCAGCAAGAAGACAAGATCAAATCTAAGAAACGTCCAAACAAACACGTACAAACACCAAAATGCTTACAACAGCCGACAACACATCGTTGGAGCAGTTTCTCATGTGACACTGCCAATTCCTAACAAGATTTTTGCAACAGTTATGAGTCACACTGTTAGCTGCAGACTTTGGCCCATCCTCCAGTACATACGAGCCCCTTCCCACTTCAGTTGGCCCACTTCAAGATTTGTACCAAAATATGCCTTTATAAACTAAACATGACGAAACTATTTACTACTAAAACAATTTATTTTCTCAAAAACATTTTAGATACACTCTTGTCGTAAAAAATACATATTTGAAATCACTTAGACCTATAACTAATAGAACATCTGAACAAATAAACAATGTGCGAATAAATGCGCGAAGTTAACAAAGCAACAATAATTGAAAGATTACCATTGGGTAACATCACCTTTATTTTTTATTACGGCTGAAATTCTTTGGGGCATAGTCTTAACCAAGTTTTGGCAAAAATTTGGTGTAAAACAATCCCATATTACTTGAAGCTTTTGTCTCAGTTCGGTGATTGTACGAGCAGGATGTTGTCGTAGAACCTTTTTCATCTCGTGCCACAAAGTTTCAATAGGTGACAGATCTGGACTGCTAGAAACCCATTTCAAAAGTGGTACATTATTTCCGTCCATCCCTTTTTTGCCTTTTTTGAGGTATGGCACGCTGCACCATCTTGCTGAAACACAAAATCTTGGCATGTTGACATCAACAAAGTTTGAACTTTCGTCCATCAGTGGTAAAAGCGATTCTTCTAAAATTGCCAAATATTTGTTTCTATCCACATTTCCATCGATAAAATGAAGTTTTGCTACTCCTTTTGATGACATACTGCCCCAGACCATATTGGATGCTGGAAATTTCACTTTTCTCTTCAGACAATCAACATGGAATGCTTCATTCTTTTGCGAATAACTACTGCGACTGTCACCAACACAAACTTCGAATCGGGCCTCATCACTCCATTGTATTGCACACCATTGTTGAGGTGTCCATTGTCTATGTTCTTTAGCCCATCTAAGCCGATTTTTCTTTTGCAGTGGAGTTAATAGTGACTTTTCTTTGGCCTATAAACAAGTTGTGCAACTTTAGGGTTTTTACTTCAATTTTTTTTATAAGAAAACTTACCTTGCAAGTGCTAAATCCCAGTTTCTGGGCCTCTCTACGAGTTGTGGGCCTTGAAATTCTCCTTCCAACAGCGTCACTCCACAGAGCACTTAATTGTAAATAATTGGCACGCCTGTTTTTCACGATTATTCTTCTTAATGCTCTTCGGTCGGCATTTGTGATATTACCTTTTTTCACATATCGTGGCTTAATGTTAACTGTACCAGTTACGTCGATGCATTTTTGCCAAAGTAACGTAAGTGACATTTTTGGTCAAAAACATGTTTCTCCATTAACGTAAGGCTTTTATTGTTGAGAAGGTACTGCCAAGGTGTAGGAAGCCTAGATTTTACTTTAAACCTGTGTTTTTAACTTTTTTTGAAAACGTATGTCCAGAATTTTTTAAATCATATCCGTAAAAGAAACGTAACTTTAACACTATTTCCATCATAGTAATGCAAGCTAAGGTTTTTTACCGCCATAATAACGTTAGTCCCTGTCGGTTTCTGCGACTTACGTCAGATTTTCGCAGTCAGTGTTTGGCTTACGACAGTGTTACCATCGACTAATTATTGATTTTATGTAAGTAAACGACATTTTTTTATAGTTAGAATTCAAAAATATTACAATCTTCACTCATATTATGTAGGTACATACCTATAAAATTCCATTTCATATTTAATTTCGTTCATTTATTACAAATGATTGTGTGATAACCTCAAGGTCTGTGAGAAATTTGCAGGAATGAATCGGTTGAAGTTAAAAAAACGTTTTTTTGTAGTCAGAATTTAAAAATATTAAAACCTTAACTAATATTATGTACCTACCTATAAAACTCCCATTTCATATTTAATTTCGTTTATTTATTAGAAGTTATTCTGTCATAACCTCGAAGCCTGTGAGAAATTTACAAGAATGAATCGGTTGAAGTTAGAGAAAGACTGTTTGTTTCTATTCTAATTTTTATAGAAGCTATGAAACATTGTAAACATAAATGCTCGGTTACTTTCAGATTATGTCTATGGTCAGTTCACGAACAAAAAGGATTTTGGCGGCTCTTAGCCAAAATGATGAATCGAATAATGTTTATTTTGAGGAAGAAATCGGGTCTATGCCGATATCCATTATTTCAAGTGTCAATATTTTTGATCTAGATAATTCCGAAGATATTTTAAAAACTACTTTAGTAAATGAAGACTTAATCAAAATAGATCAATCAATTTTATTGTCTTCTAATAATTCGAGTCCCTGAAAATGATGGTAACCATACTATGCAAGAAGAAATAAATGTACCAATAAGTACTGATAGCTCAAATGGGACAGTGGGTGTTCAATTTGCCAGGTTTCACGATGAATTCTTTAAATTAAAATGTAAGTCTTCTCTTCCAGATGAGTTAGCAGAAACTGATGCAGAGGATGACAATGAAGATGAAAGCTCCAAAACTTAAAAAAATATATATTTTTTACTAGTAAGAATGTCATATTTTCTTTTGTAACGTTATTTTGTGTTTTTTTTAATAATAAACGATGGTTTTTAATTCTTTCCAAAATACTTTAAGTGCTACAATTTGCCGCCAAAGTGACGTATCTGTGTACTTACGTTACATTTTTGATCAAGACTTCGAGATTTCTGAACCCGTAAAGTAACGTGAGTATCAATTAACCACTAAAACTATAGAAAAACTTCAAAAATCATTTTTCTTAATTAAATATAGACCTCAGAAAAACACCCTGGTAAATTTTGCACAATTTAAAAAAGTTTAACCAGGTTAAATTAAAAACACGTTCTTTCTCCAAAATCGTTTTTGGTGACTTACGTTACTTTGGCAAATACGTATTGACATTATATCGTCTAACAATATTTCTCACACTGTACCGCGATAAGTCTAACAAAGTTGCAATTTCTGAGTTTGATATCTCAGAATTAAAAAAATTAATTGTCAGTAATCGAATTTTCTCACTAATAGCCTTTCCTCTACCCATTTTGAAAACCTTAACTACCCAAAACTATTTTAAACGTATTCTGACAGCTGTGATTAATAAAAACAATTGTCATGGCTTTTATTTTTCACGGCCACCTATGCGTTATAGACTTATTTTGCATTGAAATGAAAATAGGTTGATATGCTGTAATTGCAACATGTGTTATTTTTATGCTGCAAATTTGATTAGGGAGTGATAAAGTTGGTGTTTTCTACTATATATTATCAAAATATTCATTGTTAATATTTTAAACCTATAACACCCTGCTACATTTTTATTTGTGTTTGATAAGAAAAAAACTAAGATTTCAATAGTTGGGCCAACTGAAGTGGGAATGGGCTCGTATTTGAAATTAGCGTCTCAAATTATCTCATTGTGCCGAGTTTCATTCGCTTGTTTACCTTGGCCGCCACGATCGCCTGACCTATCTCCAATTGAACATGTCTAGGACATGATGGGTCGCAGGCTCTTTAATTTGCAACTATCTCCACAGACTTTAGCAGCCCAGGCGTGTCAATGAGTGTATAAGAAATCGTGGTTCCTGAACACATTATTGAACCAGCTTCTGTCAGTTGACGAATCAAGCTGAAAATTTAATCATTTTACTAGTAAGGGACACAAAACATATATGCCAAAAATTATTGAAATCGGAAAAACATACGTAGGTGTTTACCTCATTTTGTCACTCAGTATATAAGCAATCTCGACCATAAACCGGACTTCTGTTTTTATACTTGAATCACCACGAAGGCCTAAGGCCTAAACACCCGTGGGTACCGTGGGGCTATAGGGTAAACAGGGGAAAGGGGGGACACCACAAGCACTTTAGCGAGAGAAAAGGTGTGGATGCAACCTGCACTCATTCTGGCCCGCCTTAGATATCCGCCGGGTAGTAGCTCCGCGTTCGACAGTCAGAGACCGTCCACCACCAATCACAGCCAAGAGAAAAATTCTCTTGGGATGGGATTCGAACCCGCTGCTTCTGGATAAATCGAGTGGCTAGATCACGAATCCGATGTCATTTTTTCGCCAAGATTTATCCACCCCAAATAGAGCCAATACTTTAGCTTTTTTTGACGATCATATATGGAATCAGGATCCCAAATCGGGTGATTACTAGGATTGGTAGGGGATCTTAAGAGTCCCATTTCCCTGTTCCAATTAGATCTTAGCAAGATTACAGTGTCAATAACATTAGAAGTCATCATTCCAAATTACCCCAATGTGTCAGGTTTCATTTGGTTGTATCTAAAGATGATTAAAATAGAAATCCTGCCTTGAGAAATTTAGAGGCACTGGAGGAAAATGTCCAAAAGAATCTTGTTGGTCTGCAATGTCGACGAAAATCCATTTCTTCCCCCCATTACCCCAGTGTGCCTGGGAAACCAATATCCCTTCATAAAGTGAAGTGAAATTTAGCAATATGGGAGATAGATCCAGTAATGCAAAGACAAATATATAATATTCCTATGAGAAAAGAAAGCACTAATGGCTACTCAATGAGTAAATATTAATTATATTTTTTCAATTAACCTCTAAATTGTTATAATCAATTTTCTTATATGTGGATAGTGAAATAATATATAATATAAAGTTTGTTCCTGGTTTTATGTAAAAAGTCAAAATCAAAATTATTACATCTACCGGCAGTCCTATAAGATTCAGTAACAGTCAGTCTAAGTTTAGGTACCCTATGCAAGTTAAAACATAACATTTAGACTCCATATACATAGTCGTGCCATAAGTTCTGTCCCATGATAATCTCATGATAAAAATGAAACAAGATAAGATATATTTATATGAAAGATATTATTTATTCGACAACATTTTTAGAATTCATAATCAAACAGTTTTATTCAAAATGTCCCCCCTTGGCCTTCACACACTGCTTCAATCTCGCGGGCCACTCATCTATCACTGCACGCACAGCTTCCAAAGGAATAGCTGCCGCTGATCGGATCAAATCCGCTTTCAATGACTCGATATTACGGTGGGCTTTGGAGCAGGCCAACTGCTCTAGCAGGTCCCACAACTTGTAGTCTAAAGGATTGAGGTCCGGACTCCCTGAGGGCCAATCTTCCGCAGCAATGAACTCTGGCACATTGCTTTCCAGCCAGCGCTGCGTACTCTTAGCCTTGTGAGCGGGGGCGGAATCCTGCTGGTAGACCCAGTGTTGGTTGGCAAACAATGTACCACTTAAAGGCTTGACGATAGGATCCAGTATGTCGCTCTGATAGTTTGCCGCTTTTGTTTTCACGCCCTGTTTACAGAAATGGAGCTGAGTGACCCCTTCGTAGGACACCCCCCACCAAACCATGACTGACGCAGGGTGGTGGCCTCTCTCAACTCTCGGAATGATCTCCGAAGCTTCCTGTGAACTCCTTGCATACACTTTGTCATTTTGTCGGTTGAATTTTTCTTCTATGGTGAAGATTTTCTCATCCGTGAACAAAATCTTTCGGAATCCCCCAGCTGCGTACCTCTCCAAGAGCTTCTTGGATCTTGTCGCCCTGATGTGTCGCAAGGTGGCCGTAAGTCGCTGGCCCGTACGTCTCCGGTAAGCCCCTAGCCCTAGGTCTTGTTTAATGATGCGCGACATCGTCCGGACAGGAATCTTCATTTCCCTGGATAGGATCTTCTGCTTCCGGAGTGGATTCCTTTGAATCCTGGCTTTTACGGCTTTGATGGCTGCTGGAGTCCTTACTTGACGAGGTCTTCCGCTTCTTGGCCTGTCATCAACAGATGACGTCTCATTGTACCGCTGAATGGTCCTAGACACAAATTTACGCGATATTTGAAGGCCGCGTAAGAGTTCAAAAATCTGACTAGCACTGTGATTACACTTATGTAAAGCTATCACTGCAATACGGTTCTCTGCCTTGCCCCATTCCATCGTTATGCTTCGAGAGATCAATACAAACTGAGGTATATGTAATTACCCGAAAAGCACTTAATCAACTGACACCACAATGTAAACAATCGGACAAGTATTAACAGGTCTACACTTGTTTGAAAACGAGGGACAGAACTTATGGCATGACTACGTACATAAATAAAAAAAATCTCTTCATCAAACTGGCTCAAAGAAAAAAGGGGCACCTTACTTCAGGAAACTTCAAAAGCCCCATGATAAATATCCCACTGATATATTTTAATTACAAGCTTCAATATTTAGATGACCCAAATTTAATAAAACAAAACCAATAATTTCATTAATATCACTGCTTTGCTGCTTCCTTGACAATATTTCTTCCTAACAAATCTACTTTAGCAACAGGCGTACTTTCAACTTCAGAGTCTGAACTGTTTTCTGAAGATGAATCTCCATAGCATGATAGTCCAGGTAAGATTGCAACACATTTCATTCCTGACTGAGGCACCAGAACAGATCCTTGTGAAATAACAACCTTGCTGTCTCCTAAAATAAAAATGCTACATAAATAGCACTAATAGATGCAATGGTATAGTGAAATGATTTGTAGTGTAGAATACGACAAAATGAGAGATTTCATAAGGCAATTTTTCCAATCAAATTCTGAGACCATAAATTAAATTTGTATTACCTTTTCCATGTGTTTTATCCTCCTGTTTAGTATCTGATGAAGAATTCTGCTCCACATCAGACAGTTTTCTTTTCTGACCAGTGGTTTCTTCTTCACCACTCATTTTTCGTTTCTGACCTTCAGTTTTTCTAACAACCACTCCTTTTAATAACTTTTGCTGAGAGTTGTGTGTGCCAGTCAAAGATTTGACCTTGCTAACCACAATCTCTGCCTGTAAAGTTGAACAAACTATTCAAAATGAAGACAGAAAAGCAATATGAGCGAGCCTTGATGCCATGTGAATGATTCAAGAATATTCATTTTGTATTACTTTTTCAGATTATCTACAAAATTGGGTCTATTTAGATTTGAACAATGGCAACCCTGCTTGTCTATGCTTAAAAGCAAAACATCATCAGGGATTCCCTAAATATGGATATGCTTATTTGCTACTTGCTTAGACCTTAGCTTAGCTGGTAGGAATGCATATTTCCTAGTAGAGCACAGAATCGCTCCTCTTTTTTTGTGACTCATTTGGATGTATATGGCATTACAATTAATGAACAGTTTTGAGTTTTCCAGAAATGTATTAGCCCTAAGTTCAATAGAAATTGATGGTTATTATGTTACTGCAAAGTATGTTGAATCAGGCAAGCTAGATCTTCCAGACAATAAATCGTATTCAGAACATGTATGTGGAAGGCAATACTTGCTTCATATTGTAAAATGTACCAAAATCTTTATGTAAGCATGGGGGTAAGACACTTGCTTACTTTTGCTGACAATCTGGAAGGCAGCTAATAGTTGTACAAAATCTGCTTACATAATACTTAAACAGTCGCTTACCTGTAGTCTTTCCTCAATAGACTTCTCTTGTAAAACTGCTACACGATTTCTGTAATCGCTCAGCTCAACTTCCTCTTCCAACTCCTTTTTACGGTCTGCTGCTAATTTTGTGCGATCAACTAGATCTAGAAATTCTATTTCATCATCATCTAGACCTTTTATCATATTCTCTGAAAGTAAACAAAGTATTTTCTTGATACTTGGTTAATCATAGTGTTATTGAACAGAAATACTTTTTCATCGAGATAAATGTACATTTTTCAAATGTGAAAACCCTGTAAAAACTATCTTAATCTAACAAATGTACAATACGTACACATATCGCCCAAATATACTCTGACATTAAATTTGTTACTACTTTGACAGACCCTACTTACTGAGTTTGTGTGATTCTTCATATTCCAATTCTCGCTTTTGCTTCTGCTCCTGCAGTCTTTCATAAAGGCTTCTCGGATCATAGGGCTCCTCTGGTCTTTCTAAAAGGATGAATCACTTTGCATTTATGATTTTTCTAACAATCAAAACAAGGTCTAACCTATAGGATCGTCAGCTTTACGGACGCGTTCCCATTCCTCCTGTCTTCGTTTCCTAATATCAGCTGCTTCAGACTCTGTGATAAAACCTGAACTCATTTTCAATCGCCTCTAGTTATTGGGAAAATAGCAAAATTACTGGCAATTGAACAACATACGAATGTGTCGAATGTGTTCAGGATTGATACCTTTTTTATATGATAAACGCTTTTGATCAGTACATTGGATTGGATCAGTATCAGGCAATCAGCTGTTTGTCAAAATTGCCCAACCGTCAACGTCAATGTTAGGCTACCGCCAGACTAGACGAAAAGTTTTTTTGCGGCTGCCGCGCGAATCTCGAACAGTTTAATTTCGCCGCTTTAGGCTTACAGACTGAATACAAGAACGTTAAATTGAGGTAAGAAAGGCGCGGAATGTAACGTTGTAACGCGCTTACTACAATGTATTCAAATCCAATTTAACCCCTTCAAAACAAACAAGAGCATTCGAACGAGCCAATAAGAGCCCGCGATGTTGGACAGGTCATAAATGGGATTTGAACACATAACAGTAGCTGTACATAAGGCACAAGGTGAATTATGCGTACAAGATAGACCAAAATGAATTTGATGTGTGAACTGAACATTTTTACGTGTGCTCATCTTTTACATGTTTTATCAGTATAACGATAAACTACGCGTTGCAAGCCCCGACGCACATTTAGCCTGACTATCGCACCACCCGCTCGGCTATTATGTGGAAAACCGATCAAACGTTAAGAATTAAGAACAACCTATAAAATGCCATCTTGCAGACTAGGTAGCTTTTAGGCTGCAAACAGTCATTCCATGTTTGCTCACTAGGTTCGTTGTGAGTGTGCATCTATGGAGGAATGGCTTAGCTACACGCATTCTTGGTTGCATATGTTTTGTGAAGCCGAGTAGTCCATATTTTTCATCTCTAAGAAGAAAGTTGGTTGAATAGTAATGTCGCATCTGAATGGTTGTGTGTATTGGTCTGTATGTTTATAAAATCAGTTATATTTGTTGTGTGAGAAAATCGTCATTACTGAATATGCTGCCAATGAAGTATATCTAGTGGCCGACGGGTTATTTATATGTGTATGACTTGTAATTCGACAGTGTACAGTGAAAATCAGCAAATTTGCATAAAACTGGATGTGCAACTAATGTCTAGCTTTGACTCTCAAGTAAGTGTAATTGAGACAAGAATCTAATGGAATTTTATCATCAACATATATTATTATAGTTGTAGTCACCGTTCTTGACGGGTCAAAGTAAGATTATCAGTATCCCATTATATATCTTCATCTCCGTCATACATACTCATGCAACCTACCCCTATGTGTGAACGATTGTTCGTTAAGCTCAAAAACATACGTGTTTTAGTAGTGTAACTCCGTCTCGAAAACTTTGTCGTTACGTATGAGTGCCCTTCAATCATATTTGTCATAGTGACAACTTACTTGACATCTGTGTGCAATTTGAGGTGTATTGTTATCAATCTTAAATATAAAATTGTGCATTCCCCGGAAATACGATCAATGGAAGAGGCCGCAGCTCGTGCTAAATTTATTAGAATCATTCCATGAAGAGAATGAAAAAAGCGTTCAACTGTTACACACATCATGCGTACTGGAGAGAGTAGCAGATGCGCTGAAAATTAGTCTGCGCCCATAGTACGGAGACCGGATCTGTCTATTCCTTTCATATGGAGCTGATGACGTAACCGCCAAGAACGGTGATTACAACTATAGCACACAAATCCTCACTATGCACCTATGCATTGCCGTTACCTATAGTAATGCCATCTCTGAAGCAGATTTTACATCACATCGGAGCCAAACATTAATAACTGAAGCCTCATGACGTTGAGGCAACACGTACAACTACAAAAAGAATTCACAACGTGTCCATCAGCTAGTGCTACGTTAACATCTTGTAGAAAAACCTACATAATGTCACAAACAAGCAATATAATGTCAAAAAACATCGACATAATATCACTTTTCAAGATACGTAATAACCGTGCGGAGAAGTATACGATAATGCTGCACGCTAAAACATCTTTAAGGCCTTGTAAAACATGTGTTGACGCGTGTGAATGATTACATACATTGAACTTTTACTGCTGACCATCTTGCGTTGATCAGTCTAACGCTAAGCGCACCACGTGTCCATACAAGACCTGGCGCGCGTTTAGCAGGATTCCGGTGCATGCGCACCCGCTGGGTGATGCCAGGGGGAGCGTCGTTCCGTAAGAATCCGATTGGACCTTAAAATGTACACTTTCACAGAAAGTTATCTCTTACCGATGATCGAAATCCTCTTAACAAAATTCCTGCGCGCGCCCTTGCTCCGGAGTCACCTGATACAAGGCCCAGCAAGATACGCGTTAAAGAAACGCGCGTCGCTAGTGTAACCCACAGTTTAACCTCTTCCATCCTCATTATATTGCTGCGAGCACATTTGTATGCTGCCCATTATTTTAAGGCGCATGTATCACATCGCATGAAGCCCTTTATGCAATCTCACTCGCCTTTTATCGCGCGTTGTACTTACGCTAGTGTGTTCTGGCACTTGGGAAAAGCGCGAAGCTGCGACGTTGAAAAGTGGCAAATGACAATGACTGTTCACTTGTCACTCTCTTGATTTTTATTAGCATTGGAGAATTTTTCTCAGCTACCACTAAAAAATTAAATATTTAACATTGTTGTAGGAGCCTACACAGCAATTTAATTATCGAAATCATAATACCTGTTATGCAACGTCCTCTAATTTGTGGTAAGTTTGTACAAATGTCATAATTCAATCAATCTAATGATGCCTTCTTGCAGTTCAAAGTTGAAATCAACGTTTTTATTCTGTGAAATAATGTGTATGTCGGCATGTACAAGATATGATATCAAACAACAGCAACTATAAGCTAAGAGCTACCAAAAGCTCCAGAGATGTGCACGAATATGAATACGACAATGAAGAAAACTGGGATGAAGATGGGGGAGAGGTCTTGAAGAAAGGTTCTTTTTTGAGAGACAACCGTGGAAGCAAAAATGTGGGACGTTCTAGATCGACGGAGTTTAGACCTAGTCGCATTAGCGATAGAAGAAGTTATAGGGGCAGAGGCTCCACTAGCCGTAGAAGCGAAAGAGATTACTCAGACGGATACTATAATAGGAAGTATGAGTCCAGACATATTGATTCTATAGGTAAGCTTACTGGCAAGTTAGATAGAAAGATTTGATACATAGAACTGGCTATAAACTACTATAACATAGGATCTCTTAGATAAACAGATTAAAAAGAAAATTTGGTGCAGCTGCATCTTGTAGAACTTCCGATTTCACTGTTTTTTCTCTTAAAACTTTTAGAGTGTAGTCTGATAGATTATTTAGAAACAAAAAAAGTGTGGATGAAGCAAGCTTTTCATGAAAAAATTTTCCCAAAATATTGTATTTTTAGCTGTTCTTTCCATCATTATTTACACCGCCATCTATCTGCCATATGACGTAGACGTCTGTGCATATCTCATATATGAGAGGCGCTTGCCTGCGGTGTTGCAGGATTGGACTCTGCATTTAGGGAAAAATATAAAAAGTTGAAAATTTATATACATATGTATATTAATTGATGAATCACAAAAACAAAAAAGTGAAACAAACAACAGTAGCAAAATAAAAGGTGATTCCTAATAAGTATAAATCAAAAATAACAGTAATAAGCTAAAAAATGATAAATATAAATAATTATAAAAAATAAAAGCAGTAGTAAAACAAAAACTAATTCCATGTAATTATAAAAATCAAAAATAACAAACAGCAGTAAAATAAAAAGCAATTCTAAGTGATTATAAAAAACAAAAATAAAGACAGAAGTAAAACAAAAAACAACAATTCCATGTTGAATAAAAAGCAATTCTAAGTGACAACACAAAACAAAAAGTAAAAACAGTAGTAAAACGAAGAACAATTTTATTCTATCCAAATTGCTTTTTATTTTACTGTTTGTTATTTTTTCTTTTTTATAATTAAATGGAATTGTTTTTTTGTTTTACTGTTTTAATTTTTTCTTTTTTATAATCACTTAGAATTGCTTTTTATTTTACTGTTTTTTATTGTTTGTTTTATACTTAGTAAGAATCATTTTAATTTTACTACTGTTGTTTGTTTCAGTTTTTTGTTTTTGTGTTTCATTAATATAAATGTATGTAAATTTTCCGCTTTTCATATTTTTCCCTAAATACAGAGCTCAATCCGGCAACACTGTAGGCAAGCGCCTATCATATATAACATATCCTCAGACTTCAGCATCATATGGTAGATGGAGGTGGAAATAATGGGGGAAATAACTGCCAAAAAATACAGAGTTTTTGGAAAAAAAAATATGAAAAGCGTGCTTCATCCACACTTTTTATGATGTAAAATAATTTATCAGACTACCTCTATAAGTTTCAAGTGAAAAAACAGTGAAATCCGAAGTGCTACAAGACGCAACAGTACCGAAAATTTCATGTCTTTCTATAATAAAATATCCTGTTTTATCAAGTCGGAACTCTCTCAAAGATACCACTATTAGTTGTTTTTTTTAACTGATGTCTAATTGATGTGTGATACAATGTACTTTTGACAGCTTAGGGGTCTGGCCATAGAAAGCGATTAATTCATTTATTTCGATTACCAGCTATGGTCTATCTTCAACACAATATTGCTATTTTTTTGTACACTGTAAATAGTAGTGTCGCAAGGATCACATTTATGAAAAGGCTTATCTTTAATCTGAAAATAATGTAATCTTGTGGGACATCTATAAAAAGAACTATTTTTGAGAGAAATGCTATTATTTTATAACATTTCTATTCATTTTGGTATTCGATCCAATATACTGGTTGCACCATTTCAAAAACGTAGTAATTTTTAAAATTAATAATATATCTAATATTAATGTTCTTATAACTTGATTGAGCTTTATATTTTTGACAAGCTTTGTGGTGATAAGCTACAGACCAAATTAAGTAGAACATTATTGCCACAAGGCTTGTTTTCCAAAAAACAACTAATATGTGAAACAGTGAAAAAGATGATATTCGAACAGATGACTTCTTTTCTACTTGAAAACGAAGTACTTCCATCTTTTCAGCATGGATTTTTGCCATGTTAGTATACATTTGCCAACCTTTTAACAAGTTTACAAGATTGAACAACTGCAGCTGATCAAGGTGAATTGATGTTTTCTATTCAGATTTTGAGAATGCATTTGATAAAGTCCTATTTGAAAGGTTACTGTACACC